ATGAGTACATTCATACAATTTAAAATAAATCACACAGAACAATATAATAAAATCATCATCATCATCTTTGCAGCCCTTCGCAAGTCCACTGCTGAACATAGGCCTCCCCCAAGTAATGCCACAAAGCGCGGTCCTGAGCCACCTGCATCCATTTGCTGAGCTTCCTGCATATCTTACCAGGTCGTCATTCCATCTAGTGGGGGGTCGCACTACACTACGCCTACCGGTACGAGGCTGCCACTCGAGAACCTTTCTTCCCCATCGGTTATCGGTTCTTCGAGCTATATGGCCGGCCCATTGCCACTTCAGCTTACTAATCCGTTGGGCTATGTCGGTCACTCTGGTTTTACTGCGGATATCCTCATTTCTGAGTCTATCACGCAGAGAAACTCCTAGCATAGCCCTCTCCATAGCTCGCTGAGCGACCTTGATACGGCCAGTAGTGAAGGACCACGTCTCAGATCCGTAAGTCATCACTGGCAACACGCACTGGTTGTACAATCCAGTTTTCAGAGATTGAGGTATACCTGACGAGATGTGTCGTAATTTCCCGAACGCTGCCCAGCCGAGTTGAATGCGTCGATTGACCTCTCGGTCGAAGTTGGACTTACCTAGTCGGACTATTAGTCCCAGGTAAACGTACTCGTCAACAACTTCGAGCATGCCGTTGGAGCATGCTTCCAACAACTACCGGCATAGGTGTGACATGGACATTAAACATGATCTTTGTTTTGTCCATGTTCATCTTAAGACCTATCCGTTGAGTCTTAAGACACCATTGAGGTCATTGAGCATAGTGCTTAGGTCCTCTAGCGATTCTGCTATAAGGACTATATCGTCGGCAAATCGAAGGTGAGTGATGTACTCGCCATTGATGTTAATACCGTATCCTTTCCAGTCCAGTAGCTTGAAAACGTCTTCCAATGCAGCGGTGAAGAGTTTCGGGGATATAACGTCACCCTGTCTTACACCTCTCTGCAGTTGTATAGGTTTCGAACTCTGGTTCTGTACTCGGATAGCCATCGTAGCTCTACTGTACAAACTCTTCAGCACTTCGATATACTGACAGTAAACTTAACCCGCACCCGGCACCGCTGAAGGGACTAAAGCACCGCCCAAATTTCGACGGAATGCCAAAGGCTTTCTCATAGTCCACATACGTCAGGCAAAGTGGCAGATGGTACTCTTCGGTCTTCTGTACAATCTGCCGCAGGGTATGTATGTGGTCTATGGTACTGAAGCCTTTGCGGAAACCGGCTTGTTCGGGAGGCTGGAAGTCGTCGAGTCGAGAGACGAGAGACGATTCGTAATGACTCTAAAACAGCACGTAGACGCGGCTCAGAAAGGAAATCGGTCTGTAGTTCTTCAAGAGAGCATTGTCGTCTTTCTTGAAGAACAAGACCACCGCACTTCTGCTCCTCGCTTCCGGAGTAGTGCCACCATGGAGGACGGAATTGAAGAGCTTCTGAAGGACTTCAAGTACCGGTGTTCCACCCACTTTCAGGAGCTCCGCTGTAATTCCATCGTCGCCTGGGGCCTTGCCGTTTTTAAGGTGATGGAGAGCCATTCTAATCTCGCTCAGAGTGACGTCCGGGATATCATCGGAATAGTGGCTGATAAGACTTGCTCTTGGATCGTTACTCACACTTGCGTGTGCCTCCAACGATGATGTGTACAGCTGCCCATAGAACCTCTCAATCTCACTCAAAATCTCAGGTATCCCGGAAACGATGCTGCCACACTCAGTCTTCAGCTTTGACAGTTGGCTCTTTCTGGCAGACAGATCTCTGGCAAAGACTTTGGAGCCCTGGTTCCGATCGATCGCTTCTTTAATACGAGCAGTATTAAAGTTGCGTAAGTCTCGCCGCATGCATTTGGAGATCTGTCTATTCAGTTGCCTGTATGCTGTCAAATCTGTTGACGATTGCAGCCTTATTTCCCGTCGAACAGCCACGAGATTAAGAGTGTGATCGGAGAGTTTTTGTGTTCTTCTGCGGCGGGTCTTGCAGAACTTAGCTCCGACCGCATGGACAGTTTCCACGAGCTTATCATTCATATCGTCCACTGCATTGCAATCTTCTAGGCACTGAAAGCGGTTACGTAACTCGAGCTGAAAGGTTTCGGGATTCTGGATAGAGCACGAGGGGGACGGAGCGTTGACTTCATTAGACGAGACCTCTCCAACTTAACGTTTAGGTTCAGTGTGCCTCTAACCATTCGGTGATCGCTGCCAGTTTTCACCCTTGCGATCACTTAGACATCACTGAACAGTTGGCGTCTAGTCGTCATAATGAAGTCAATCTCGTTTTTTGTCGAACCGTCGGGGCTCGACTAGGTCCACTTCCTGTGGGGCCGCTTCTGGAAGAAAGAGTTCATCATAAAAAGTCCCTCTTTCTCCATGAAGTCGGCCAGCTGCTGGCCCCTTGGGTTCCGTTGCCCTATCCCAAATTTTCCTACCTTCAGCTCACCGTTCTTTCTTGTGCCCAGTTTTGCGTTGAAGTCTCCCATTAACACCGTATAGTGAGTTTTGGAGGAATGCATGGCTTTAGATATGTCCTCATACGAGGGTGGATTGAAAAGTACTCAGCCTAACACAGATCCATTCAATTCTAAAAATCAAATCTGCCCACATTATTTAGTTCAGTTCAGACTAGTTCATTGTGTGAAGTTCGAAACGTGTGCGATAATTAGTTGTGATTTTATAAATTTATTAACAAAGTAATCGGACATAATTTCCGCGAATGGAGCAAATCGAGCAGCGTGCCGTCATTAAGTACCTCCATAAGAAGGGGCTATCATCAAAAGCCATCCATGATGACATGGTCAGTACATTAGGCGATTGTGCTCTGTCATATTCATCCGTCAAAAAATGGATAGCAGAATTTAAGCGTGGTAGAGAGAGTGTGAAAGATGAACCCCGCTCTGGAAGGCCTTCGACGTCAACTACTGACGAAAATATTAAAAAAGTACTTGATTTAATAATGGGAGACCGCAGATTAAAAATTAGAGAGATAGCCGAGATTATAGGCATCTCTTATGAACGAACTCAAAACATCATTGTCAACGAGTTGCGTTTCCACAAGGTGTCTGCGAGGTGGGTTCCGCGACTGCTTTCAGTTGAACAAAAAAGGACGCGATTGACTATTTCACGCGACTGTTTGGAGTTATTTGAAGCTGATGCAGATGATTTTTTGAATCGTTTTGTTACTATGGACGAAACATGGGTACATTACTGTACACCGGAAACAAAACAACAATCAAAACAGTGGAGAAGACCTGGTTCACCACCCCCTAAAAAAGGCTAAGTCGATTTTGTCGGCAAATAAGGTGATGGGTTCAGTATTCTGGGACTCGAAAGGTGTGATTATGATTGATTATCTTGAAAGGGGTCAGACTATAAACTCTGATTACTACTGCACCTTACTACGTCGTTTACGAGAGGAAATAAAAGAAAAACGTCGAGGAATGCTCAGAAGAAAAGTCCTGTTTCATCAAGATAACGCCCGTGTTCACACGTCAGTACAGTCAATGGCTGAAATTCACAACTGTGGCTTTGAACTGTTACCGCATCCGCCGTATTCACCTGATCTGGCACCATCAGACTTCTTTCTGTTCCCTAACCTAAAAAAGCACTTGGGAGGTCAAAGATTTTCGACAAACGACGAGGTCAAAGCAGCTGTGGACGCATATTTTGACTCTAAGGAAGAATCATTTTTTTTCAACGCTCTAAATGCTTGGAAGGGGAGGTGGCCAAAGTGTATTGAACTTGATGGTGATTATGTAGAAAAATAAAAATATAACTGATTTAGTATGTGTTTATTTTCTTGGTTAGGCCGAGTACTTTTCAATCCACCCTCGTACATTTCCTCCACCTCCTCATTGGGATGTTCCGACTTTGGCGCGTAAACCTGTATGACCTTCAGCGAATACCGTTTGGTAATTCTGAGTATAAGGTACGCAACCCTCGTCGATACACTCTCAATCTTTAAAACGTTGTTAACGAGAGACTTGTGGACGATAAATCCGACACCTCCTTGGGACAGATGGTCGCCCTCCCGGTGATAGAACAAGTTGCCGGATTCGAGAATCACCGTGTCCTCCCCCTCTCTTCGGACCTCGGATAATCCTATAATATTCCAGCGCAACTTGTCTATCTCTTCTTTCAGCTCCAGGATCTTCTCGTCAGTCCTCAAGGTGCGTGCGTTAAATGTTGCCAGGTCGAGTCGTCGTAGGTGGCAACCGAACCTCCACCGGAGATTCTTAGCACCTGTTTTCAGTGTAAGATTTTAACATCTGGAGTGTCGTGTCGGTTACATCAATACTTAACTTTTTAGTAGCAACGAGTGACTCACTGTGTCAAAGCCCTTTTTTAAGTCAATGAACACACCTAGTAAAATTTAGTAGAAATTTACTTCACTATCCAAGTATCTACTTACGTACCTATACTTGTCTTTTGTATTTAAAATATTTTAAGTTATAATAACATAAAATCAAAACACTGAAATTAAAACTTTGTTTACTAACAAAATTTTTAACTAAGTAGAATACGATAACATTTCTGTTAATAATCGTATTTCAAGTACCTGGTGATATAATTAGTGGAAATTACTTCAAATTCTAACAATAACGGTTCAGTTCAAAAACGATCATTCAAATTTAAATTACGTTCGGGGTGTTGACAAAAACGCGTAAGCGACGCTAATTGCATGGCGCTAACGACCTTTTTCTCACAACATCCTACCTTAGATGCGGCCTGTGAGCGGGCTTGACTAACGGGTTGCAACAAAATAATATTGCATACTGAAGCTTAACTTCTCTGCTTTTGGGTAACTTTTGCTTGGCTTGTCTTGCATTCAGTTAAAATAAAATGCCTCCAAAAGCGAAATACTGTGCAGGCTGTTCGAAAAAAAATCACAAACCCCGAATTTTTGTCTTGCTGCTTATGCAATGATACCTATGATATTGAATGCGTAAATTACTCGTACAAGTTATTTTGCCTTATGGATAAGGAAAAGAAAGATAATTGGAAATGCCCCACATGCAAAAGTAAACAAAGGAAATTTGACAATACTAACACCCCCGTACAAGGCTGTCGTATGGATTCGCTTTCATCTGCGTCTGATCAGATAACAGAAGACTCTGAAGAATGTAATTTAACTCAACGCAAACCGTTAATCCCAGAGAAACAACCATTATCCCCTGGTTCTTCTTGTATCATGGACGATAAGGTTTTAGTCAATATTATACGTCGAGAAATACAGCAGTCTGTGACGGAGGCTGTTGAATCAGTCATCAAGATGTATTTTTCTAAGAAGTTCGATGAAATTAAAAGCGAATTGGCTAGGTACCTTACGAGAAATCGGTAAAAGTATGGAATTTCTTACCTCTCAATATGACCGGATGAATTCTGACATAAAAAAATTACAGAATCGACTTACCGTGGTTACTAAAGAGAATTTAACGCTATCCAGTCAAGCATTAGATATCTCAGATAGACTTAACCTTATGGAACAACACTCTCGCGAAACGAACATTGAAATCAAGAAAAGCTGTCCTTAGCGAAACAACTTTGCTCTACTATTTCCGTCCATTTGATGGACGCTGAAGTACTATCAGGCGCTAGAGTCAGAAAAATAATTGATAACAATGATCGTCCCCGCTCCAATAAAACGTGACGCAATATTGGCTGCGGTTTCCATTTGGGATATGGTGGGAATAAATCACCCGTATATGTTTGTGAACATTTTTCCCCTCAGAACAAAAAACTACGTGCTAGCACCAGAAACATTGCACGTGAAAAGGGTTATAAATATGTTTGGATCCGTAATGGTCGTATTTTTTTGCGAAAAGAAGGATGACCTTCTTTTCGCAAAAAAATACGACCATCTCGCTGGCAAGCGAGGCGGAGTATCCTGGTAGCATGGTATCGAAGAAACTGGACTCTAAAAGAGTTAACCACTTTGAGAGCTGTTCTGAAGACTTGTGGGTTTCGGTGGGAGTGAATATCAATGGTAAACTCGTGGACTGCTTGTTTTGTGTAGTATACTTGCATCCTCCAGTAAATATTAGTTCATTAGATGGATTTCTTGACAACTGCAATATTGTAATGCAATCGTAGTAACGACACAATAATATTGGGCGATTTTAATTTTATAGATTGGATTACCGGTGTTACCAATTCCGTAAACAAATTAACCCCTAACAATTATTGCTGTGATTTGGGATTTCAGTTTATTGACTTCTTGTCTTTAAACAATTTATCACAATTTAATGCTGTGAAAAACGCTAATAACAGAACCCTAGACCATGTTTTAAGTAATGAATGAATGAATGAATGCATTTATTCTCTCTTCACAATAGGTATTCTTAGTAAAGTTGTTCAAAATGACTATAAATCAATAGCACGCTACAGACTATAAACTAGAAATTTCTAGCGCGCTATTAAATACGCTAAGTTATTGCGCGCTATTTATAAAAAGTGTGTTAAGTGGGAGGCCGGCAAGCGCGTTAAGTTTAGCAACACGCTATATTTCGGAGCACGCTACATTACATGTCGTTCATTGGATAGACCTCGTGCTATATAAGAACATTGTTTCCTTCGATCATTGGTATTGTTGATCGAAGATTGTTTCGTAATAAGTCGCATTTTAGATTAAAATAAAATAAAGTGGTAAAGAAAAATCAATGAACGCTCTTTCATACTTTTCAGGCTTACGACTTTCTATAATCCTAAAAATATTTTTGAGGCGTGTACTTTTTGAAACAAAATAAAATTAATCATTTTTTATTATTATTGATGTAAACGTTATTTTAACCTTAATATAAATTATAAATCAATTAAAGATGTATTTAAAAGTTTATTGATTGTATATACAAAATTCAATTATTTACAAACATTACTATATACACTTTTGTATCTATATTTTATTTACATTTTAAAAACATTAGTTAGGCTTCTTTTGTAGCAGACAACTGTGTCCCTCGATCACTTATAAATATACAGTATACACTAACTAAATAACGTCTAACACTAAATTAGTTCGCGCGCGATGAATAGCGTGCTGCTAGATTAAATTTGCGTCACACGTCTACTCCCAACAACGCTGCTGCTAGAACTCTCTAGTACATAGTCAGTAATCTATGGCTAGAACTAATTGCCGCTTGATATGAATAGCGCCAAAGCGTCATAGTGTCATAGTGCCATTGCGACTACTTACATAGCACGCACTATGCGTTATGAAGAGATAGCGCGCTATAATATGGCGCTATGCAAACCACCACCATTAATTCTTAGTGCTAAGTGTTTACACAAGTGCCAGACAGGTACCTATAGGTACCTGTCTGGCACCAGGTGTGTGTGTGTGTGTGGGCGTGCGTGGCGTGCGTGGCGTGGCGACGGTGAACTATTCGGCGCAAACTTCAATGTTTATAGACGTGATCGAGAGACGTGATCGTAATTCTATCCATCTCGCTGGCAAGCGAGGCGGAGTGTCCTGGTAGCATGGTAGCATTAGGGTGTGTGTGTGTGTGTGTGTGTGTGTGTGTGTGTGTGTGTGTGTGTGTGGCGTGCGTGCGTGCGTGCGTGCGTGCGTGGCGTGCGTGCGTGGCGTGACTGCGTGGCGTGCGCAGCGTTGCGTGGCGTGCGTGCGTGGCGTGCGTGTTTGCGTGGCGTGCGTGCGTGCGTGGCGCGCGCGCGTGCGTGCGTGCGTTGCGTGCGTGGCGTGCGTGCGTGCGTGGCGTGCGTGGCGTGTCGTGCGTACGTGACGTGCGTGCGTGGCGTGCGTTCGTAGCGTGCGTGCGTGCGTGCGTGCGGCGTGGCGTGCGTTAGTGCTTGCGTGCGTGGCATGCGTGCGTACGTGCGTGCGTGTGCGTGCGTGTCGTGCGTGCGTGCGTGCGTGGCGTGCGTGCGTGGCTTGCGTGCGTGCGTGCGTGGCGTGCGTGCGTGATTGCGTGCGTGCGTGCATGCGTGGCGTGCGTACGTGCGTGCGTGCGTGTCGTGCGTGCGTGGCGTGCGTGCGTGGCGTGCGTGGCTGGGGCTCCCCAGTGCCAGCTCCTTCCTTTTGATCGAATTCAGCGCAGAGGAGTTCGAATCGTCGGCGACCGAGCTCTTTCCGATCGGCTCGACTCTCTGGCACTGCGAAGAGATATTGCTTATTTTATCGCATCTACCACGGGGAGTGCTCTGAGGGATTGTTCGGACTAATTCCAGCCACACAATTTCACCATCGCACATTGCGACAAAGCTTGCGATTTTTTTTTTCTATGAATTTTACGATATTATATTAGAGGCAAATATCCTTCTTCTTCTCCTATCCTTAACCTTTCTAGGTGTGGTAGTCATACGAAATCCTGATTGTGAATCTTGTCTATCTGGATGACGCGGTCCACCACTGTGCGATTTAAAAGAAGTTTTCTTCCTCGCACAACTTCCTTGTGGAAACAACTACCACCAGAGATTTTTCCGGACCGATACGACTTAGAGACCTTCAAGAAAAGACCCTATTCCTTTTTAAAAGGCCGGCAACGCATCTGCAATATCCCTGGTGTTGCAGTTGTTCATGGGCGGCGGTAAGCACCTATCATCAGGCGATCCTTATGCTCATTTGCCCCCTATCCTATAAAAAAATATACATGTTTATTATTATTATTGCCTCCATCTTCAGCTATCCAGCAGGATACGCGGCCTTTTATACTTTGCTTATTTATAGTCTAAGTTCTGTGCAATCTTATCTATGGTTCTGAGGGGTCGCTTCTAAATATTACCATACTCTTTGGTGAGGTCTATAAAGGAGGATGGCCAAATCGTACCAGACAACGAAATGGTAGCGTCCCAATATGAAATATTTATGTAAAATACCCTTATTGTGTAAGGTCTTAAAATACACAAGAAATACCTAAGTAGCCACAAAAAAAGTTATCCATTTATTTCTATTTTTGTAACTGTTCAAAATTATTTCAAATAATGTTGGAAGATGGATTCTTTTCGTGTGTGAAAGGACTTGGTAATCAAAGGCTATAATTATTGACGTTTTTATGAATAGTTGTTAATTTTAATTCAAATCAATTAGTATATAGACATCAAATCAACTATTATGATGATTTATTATGTACAGGATTCTTGTCATAAAAATAATTATGTAGGTACGCTAAACGTTTTGTGCAATTACACATGTACAACGGAACGTCACATGTCATCTGTGGTCATCAATCCGCGCCACGCCAGTATTGTTATTTCCTTCTGTTGTTTTGACCTCGGTATTGTTTTATGGACTGATTTTTTCACATCTTGGATAATTGCGAGACATCGTGCAAACTACACTGCTATTGCTATGTGTTAATTGTAACATATGCATTGATACACTTCGCCACCATGTCGTTTTTGAGCATTGAGCTATTATGTACTTACTACGTACTAGAGGCGACATTACATTCAGCTACTATGTTCCATTCAACTGCGGTGCATACACTGCACTTTAATCAGTCACTCGGTAGGCGCTTGTAGAGTTGACACGTGTTGTGTTGATTTAAAAAAAAATCTTTTGATAAAAATATGCCATCGTGCGTACTTAGATATTCCACAAATAATTCAAGAAATGTCAGTAAAAACCAAGGAATTACTTTTCATTGGTTAATAAGATACTTAATCAATAAAAAAGTATTATAAATTAGTAATAAAATAAATTAGGCCTAAGACGCCATTTTGTGTCAGGTAATATAGATTATCAAATTAATTTGTTCAGATGCGACATTTCTGTGGGTACTTAAATATAGGACGAATATATTATTATACACATTTTTTGTAGAAACATATATGAGTTATCATAATTAGGCCAAATTTTTTATATTTAAATCTGCTAATTATTCTTATATTTTATTTTTAGGTTTCCACATCAAAGTCAAAGTGGAATAAATTCGTCAATTTTTAGCTCTCGCGTGCCCAGTATTTATGAACGACTCTTATTCTAATTTAAATAAATATATTTGTAATTTAAATGTTAAATTAACAAGTTTTGTTAAACATACATTTAGTATGTTTTTTATATTTGAGATAGATACCTTTTAAAATATTGAGATAAAAATATAATTAAAAATTAATTGTGATATAATATTATGTAGTATTATATTAAATAAGCAAATATAATATACAAAATAAATGACAAAATTTAAAAAATTGTTCTCGATATAATTTACCTATTTAACAGTACAGTCTTTTATTACCTACTGATCATTCTACCTATGTTTATTCTATAAGAAAACAAACCGCGCAAACACAGAGTAGCGCACATTTTTTGTTTGAAATAGCTGTTCTAGTACGTAAGTACATATTACTTCAATGTTTTTGAGCTTGATACCAGAGAATTTCTAA